GCGCGCGCGCGCCTGCGTGCCAGTACCGGGGTTTGAACTCAAGACCCTGCACTCTTGCTTAGCTTCCCTTCCCTTTCCCTTCCTTTTTATGCTTATACTGGCGCTTGAACTCAGGGCCAAGATGCTGCCCCTCAGCTTTTTCCAGCTCCAGGCTGGCGTTCTAGTACTTGAGCCACAGCTCCTCTTCTGTTCTGGTTTATTTTTTTCCTCTGTTTGTGTTTGGTTAATTTTGGCTGGTTAATTGGAGATAAGAGTCTCACAGACTTTTCTTGCCCAGATTGGCTTCCAATCTTGATCCTCAGATCTCAGCCTCTTGCTGAGTAGCTAAGATTACAGGCTTGAGCCACCAGCGGGGGGGGGGGGCCCCCCCCCCACCCCCCCCCCCCCCTTCCCATGCATTTGTCTTCCTCCATCCGTACTTCCTCCTTTCAATATTTCCAAAACTCCTGGCCGGAAGCGCTCATCGTGAGTCCTGTCAACCCCACTTTCATCTGTCAAACTATGTTTTGTTTTGCTCCCCTCATCCTAGGCCTGTGGAAATCCAATCAAGTGGTACTGGAGTGGAGGGCACCCACCTGTGCAGAAGGAAAAAAGTAGCATCTGCTGGAAAAGCTTCCATCTCCTGGAGCAGCTACAGACCCAACCCCAGGCCCCAGGCTGTACTTTCATGCTCCAGCAGTCAACACTCCCGTCCAGCTTCGGCAAGTGGGTACCTGCCTTTCTCTCTCTAGCCAGGTTTCTTGCTGATCTGCCTCTTTCACATATTTTCCCCCATGCTGAACTGTTGCATCTGTGGATGGGTGAGTTTAGCCATGACCAGAGCTCTCTGAAGGACAATGGACTTGGGTGACTGAAGTTCAGTTCTTGGACCCTAACAATAACTTTATGACCCAGGAGGGTGAGTAAACGGATAGGATGGCCTGTCTGTGAACCCAGGGCTGGCTTTTGCAGGGAGCCTTGACATTCCCTGCAGGATTACTGCAGTGAGAACCAGGAACACAATTTGCTCCCAGGAATGCTTTTGCTGCCGGATTTCCTGTTGGCCTCGCCTGCTAATGACTGTGGAAAAGTGGACTACCTCTTTCCTGCCCACCCTTAGAATCTGGTCTGTTGGATTAGGTGTTCTGTAATTTTGTTTTCCTTAAGAAAAGAAAGAGCAGGCTGAGCTGCCAGGTCTCAAGGTTAGGGCTTTTCTCATTAAATTATTTTCTCTCAGTAGTTCCTTGAAATCAAAACACCCCCTGTCTGAGGAAATCTATTTGAGCATGCTTTTAAAGATGCTGTGTGTTCTTTTCTGACAGGTTTTAAACACTTGAAACCTCACAGCTTTGGAGTGATTCTGAGGAATACAGGTAAAAAATTTCCGTTGTAAATAGAGTCATCGTTGGTATTTATATGTATTTTTAAACTTTATTAAGTTGCTGTTAATTCTCTGTGTGATAAAAGTTCCAACTGAAAATATCCGTTGAGATCAGATTTACAAGACTGCCTAAATGGAAAATCTCTAAATGTACCGCTCTACGGGGGGAAAGAATTTCATTTTGGTGTTCCCACTGCTCAGTATGATCTCATGGCCTCGAAAATACGGGTTTGTTGAACATAGCAGTGTCTCTCTTTCCCCAGTACTAGTGATTGACCCCAAGGCTTTATACATGCTGGACAAGTGCTCTTATCATTTGAACTATACCTTCAGCTCTATCACATTATTATTATTATTTTTATTATCTTTGCAAGGACCGGCATCAGGTTTGCCATCTTCCTGCTTCCCTCTCTAAGTGGTTGGGATTACAAGTGTGTACAACCATGCAAGTCTGTAGTCAGTAAAGACTGATTTTGAAAGTTGTATTGATCTATATTATCCCAGGAAAATGATCTTACTGGGAAACAGCCAATGTGTGTCATAGCATTGTCATCTGGTAGAAAGAGCAACTGAAAGCAAAAATACCCAAAACAGCTCTGATACCAATAAAGGGAAACTGAGAATGACATGAGTATTGTCAGAGACATGAAGGAGAATTGACCCAAGATATTTGACTCTTTCTGATTGAGTTAGAAATGCAATATGTACCTGTATCTCCTGGAATGAGCTGAGGTCATGCTCACACCTTCATTGCTATACTTGTGGTGATTAGAGCACATAGATCATCTACAATTTGTCATGATGATGGTTTTGATTTTCAGAGACAAGGTCTTACTATGTAGATCAAGCTAGCCTGGCACTTCCTATGTTAGCCCCTTCAAATTTGCAATCCTCCTGTTTCAGCCTCTCTAAGTGCTGGGCGTAAAGTCATGTGCCACCTTGCCTGCCATGGTTCTTATCACTTTTTATTCAGCAGATATGCACTTGCTCAGAGTAATAGAACCTTTTTTTCTCCCTTGCTGGTGTAAATTCCTTCCTCGAAGTAAGGTCTCAACTCAGATGATATTTAGCAATCCACCCCCCTCAGCTCCAAATGGCATTAAACAGTTCTTTAATAAACACTGCCATAGCACTTTCTGTGTGCTAGATAAACTCTTTACCTGTTATTAACTCATAAGCCCCTGAGAGAAGCTTATTGTTATTTCTGTTTTATAAGTAGGAAGTTAAAGTGTCCTATAGAAAGTTTAAACCACCCCAGAGACTGAGCTTCAAAGTTTGTGTTCTTAACTTGGCAAGCTATATTGTCTTTCATATTACCTGACTTTATTTCAGTCATTGACAAACTGGGTCATATTAAGTCCTTATCTCCATCTTTATAAATAAAGTTTTATTAGAACGCAGTCACACTCATTGCTTTACATTAAACTGTGGCTGCTTTTCCCACAAAGGTGGTGTGTGGTTTGCCACAGAGATTCACTAGTCAGCAGAGCTAAATGCATTTACTTTATTCTTTACAGAAAAAAGACATCTACTGGCTCCTGGACTATTTGCTTTACAGTTATCATCATGTGAAGTTGTTTGCTAGATTGCTTATGTCTTTCATACTAGGTCATAAGTTCCTTGAGAGCAAAGCTCTTTCTTGTTTTGTTTACCCTTGCACAGAGAAGTTTTTCATTCACTCTTTTGCTTCTAAATTTGGTAATGCCAGCCTGCGAAATAAACTGATAATAAACAGACAACAGGAAAATAAAAAACAACATGTAAATCTAATTAATTAGTCAAAGACTCCTGGATGGACAAGACAGTGAGGAAAGTTAAACAAAAAGATCTAGGCTTGGGCTGGGAAGGTGGCTCAGTGGTAGAGCGCTTGCCTTGTATGCATGAGGCCCTGGGTTCGATTCCCTAGCACCACATAGCAGAAAAAAAAAAGCCGGAAGTGGCGCTGTGGCTCAAGTGGTAGAGTGCTAGCCTTGAGCTGAAGGACTGAGGGACCGCGCTCAGGCCGAGAGTTCAGGCCCCACAACCTGACCAAAAAAAAAAAAAAAAGATCTAGGGTTTGGGTTTCAAGTGAAGCAGGTAGTGGAGGCTGTGAATAGTTGGTGGGGAGAGGGGATGTGCTGTGTAAGCAAGGCTTGTCTTAATATGCAGATGAAATCTAGGTAATAGCCACCTGTGGTGATCTTGGAAAGGGGCAGGTGTCAGATTCTCCATTTCTTTAGGTGGAAAGACTTTTCTTAGGCATCAAGGGGAATGTCCAGTCTAAAAGCCTATTCCTGGCCCCAGTGTTTGCTAATGGAGAGAGGTGCAAGTTTCTTTCTACCAAACAGCATTTTTTCTGAGCCATCCATGTATCTGCAGAGGTCTATGTTTTCTATGAATAACCACTCAACATCTACCAAAGGAATATATACAGGGTAGGATATTTTACTCTCCCAGACACCAGGCAGTGCCTGGAACACAACAGGTGTACTATGAACAGTGACGAAAGAAAAACACTTAGTAGAAAGCTATGGCAAAACATACTATAGCTATGTTTCCTGCTTGGAATTTCTTTCTTTTTTTTTTTTTTGTCGGTTGTGGGGCTTGAACTCTGGGCCTGGGCGCTGTCCCTCAGCTCTTCAGCTCAAGGCGAGCGCTCTACCACTTGAGCTACAGCGCCACTTCCAG